ATAGCAGACGCTCGGCAGCTCCGGCAGACTCAAGTTTAAAGCCTTCTGGAGAGGGAAGCTCTAGCGTCCTCTCGAGTGTTCTCCTTTTTCTCCATCTTAGGAACCTTGTTCCGAGTCTTGAGTATGTTGTCAGTGACGTCAGCAAGCCCAGCCTATCCAGAAAGCATTCCACTCTAGGTAGCAGTGGTGGATTACCTGGCTGTTGGGGATGGCAGGGGAAGGGTGAGGGCAGGAGCTGGCTCTCTGAAAGGAAGAGATCGAGCTTGGAGATTGCCTTCTGTCTGTCGGAGGCCTGAAGCCTTAGCTCTGCTGGTCTGTGTTAGTTTCTTCGCTAAGCTGAGGAAACAGGAAGATGGGGAGGAGGGAAGTTCACTCTCCTACTTGTTAATCTGAATGCAGAGTGAGGCTTCAATTGAGCACATCTGGACCAGGCTGCATCCTCCTCACTGTTCCATCGGTCAGCCCGTGTTCATCTTGTACCTACTGGGTGTATGTATACTATGGGGAGACCACATAACGTTGTCAAACCAAGGGAACGGAATCTTGCCTTAATTCTTAATTGTTTACTGACATGACTTGGGGTCAGCTACCTTACTTCAATGAGCTTTGATTTTTCTAAACTACAAAATGAACATAGTAATTCACACCTTGTAATTTCTTAGGTTTTTTTTTAGATGGGTTTCTCTGTATAACAGTCCTGGCTGTCCTGGAACTCGCTTGAGATAGGCCTCAAACTCACAGAGACCTATCTGTCTGACTCTGCCTCCCAAGTGCTGGGATTAAAGGCATGCACCACCACCTCCTGGCTCATACCTTGTAATAGTAATAGGCATACTAAAATAGAAACATACGCCTATAATATTATAATAGCTAAAAACATGATAGTTATAATTGCTATTATTATTATTATTGTTATTGTTATTGTTATGTGATGCAATTAGAAGCAAGCTACAAGTTAAGCTGAGTTGCCAACTCAAGTAGAGGAGTTATTAGGACCTAAAATTACCTTTTTACTTCCTGGTCAACACGCGTTAATCAGTTTTTTTGTCCACACACCTGCCGCCATGATGTCCTGTCTTATCACCAAGTGACTGGTGGGCAAATTGTCTGGATACTTCAAGTAGATCCTTGAGTTCCAGAGAGGACCTCTGCAGAAGGTGTTACAGATAGAGGGAGGAGATTCTGAAGCAACAAGGCCAGGGAGACTTGAACGTGGGGGCTTCAAAAAGAAGATGGTGGGAAATGTGGTTCGAAGCCTGAGAGTGGGAAGTCAAAGGTGGGCCCTGGTGAAGACAGCGGTTCTTACTCTGGGGGAGATGGAGAGTCTGTGAAAAGTGGTGGGTCATACCTGGTGTGACCTGAATCATGTCCTGAAATTTTCTCTGAGAATCAACAATAGTTATGAAGTGACAGAGAGAACTTCTTTGAAAATGAATAAAGTCTCAGAATAACTATTTTTGAATATTTACAGTGTGCCAGACTTTATCGTAAGCATTTTAAAGGTAAGATCTCCGTTAAAAGACACAAGAAGACTTGAAAGAAGGATGATGATTCCAAGTGGCATTTCAGGGAACAAGCTTAGAAAGTTTACAAAACTCACCCATAGATGCACAACCCATGAGTGATAAGAAAGGATGCTACTATAGTATTGGAGTTTGGGTATAAAGTGTTCCTGGGAAAGCCTCCTTTGTTTAAGGCCTAGTTTCCAGCCTTAACAATTTACTGTTAGTTTACTCTATTGACAGGTGATTGGAACCTAAGGGCCATGATTTCATCCATGCAATAATCTGATAAGGTCATACAGAATGGGCTAAGGGGAATACAAGCCTAGTTGGAGGAAATAGGTCATTGGGAACATGGCTCTGAAGGATATATCTTGTTCCTGGCACCTTCCAGCACCCCCTTTTCTCTCTGCTTCCTGGCTACCACAGTGTAGGCAACTGGTCCCATTCAACTTGCTGCCTTGATGTTCTGCCTTATAATCATTCCATGGCAATGGAGCAAATCAACCACAAAAATAAAGCCTCAGAAACTGTGAGCTGAAGCAAAGACTTGTCCTTTCAAGTTGTTTTCTTAGGTATTTGTTACAGCAGCAAAACGCTAACTGTTGCAGCAAGTGCATGAGAGCTGTGGTCCTCAACCTTCCTGATGCTGTGACCCGAGGTGTCGTGACTCACAGGTTGAGAACCACTGGTTTAGAGAAAGCTTTGGTCTCACAGCCCATGTCCTGACCACCCCATACCATCTCAGACTGTGTTTTACCCTCTAATTTGACAGCTCACTTCTTTGAAACCAAAAACTGGAGAGGTCTCTGATAGAAGCTCTGTTGTTAGCCAGGATTCTTTTCAAAATGCTTGACGACCTGAAATGGGCACATGAAGTGCCGATTGGGTGATTTGTTCATCTGAGTCATGCAGAGACTTGTGGATTAAGACTGTCTAGGAGGTTACATAGACCTCTACACTCATCAGGTCCTGAAAGGAACATTGGGATGTTTACACATGAACACAGGTCCCTGTGTGACAGTGGACACAGAGGGATGGGTTAGTCCTCACCATTGTAGAAGGATTGTTATTATCTAACTCTAACCACCAGCCAGTCCTAGTCAACTAAGCTTGTCTCTGCAGCCATTGGATTATACTCAACAAATGAGAGATTCCTTAAGTGGAAATAATTTCTGTTTAAATTTTATATTGATCAGACTGGCATTGGCCATTTAGCAATCAGTCCTGGTGAAGAGATGAGCTATTCAAGTGAAATGATATCTATAGATTAAGATTCACAGGAAAAATTATCGCCAGAAAGAGAAATAAAAGATGGAAAAAAAAGAAAAAGGGGAGAATGTAAACTAACATAAAGATAGGAAATCCTTAGTGAAGCTTCCATATTGGAGGACAGTACCACAAATCTCAACAATTCCCACATAGTTACTTCTACCTCCACTTTAGCAGTAAATGTACCTAAATATTTGGATACGACCAAGTCTGCACATGGACCTCTTCCTAAAGAAACCGAGGTGCTCAAATGTGTGAGGAGGACCCCAAAGCTGACACCTATCAAGTGGAGGAAGCACCTGGCTAAATGTTCTCTGTCTCCTCCATCTTCCTTGTGTCTCTGACAGGGAAAGAGTGCTCTTGGTTCCTGTGGGTCACTCACTGCCAGATGGAACCCCACTCCTTTCAACCATTTAGAGGATGAGGGATTTTTTTTTGCATTTTCCCTCTGAGCCCCAAGCTTCTCCATAGTTCTTCCATCTTGTTTCGTTTTTAATGCTTCCCCACTTCCTCTGAATCCCTCCTCTTGTACCCCTCAGTTTATTCCATCTTCCTGTGACTCAGTTTCCTGGTCCACTGGATGATTCTCACGATACTTTCAAACCAGCACAGTTAACAATTCATAGTCAGTTTTCTTGGAATCCCTCTCCTTGGCTTATCATTAAGTTGTGTTTAAAGAAAAATCAACACTACCCACATCACACCGACTTTCTGAGGGTCAATTGTCATCCTTTCCAATGTAAATATTTATGTCTTTAAATTCTTGGTGTTTATGTGAATACCTGAAATAGTAATCACTTGTCTTTTTCATTAAGAAAACCATACTCTGATCCTTGTCCAGGAGAATTAAGTGAAAAGAAAAAGATAACTTCAAAATCACATGAGAAACCTTCTGGATTCCTTTGGTCAAGAATGGGGTTTAAACTAAATATTGCCAGGTTGGAATGCAAGAACCTCTCATGAGTTTGACCATTCTTCTCCTTCTGTGTCACACCACATTTATACTTGGTCAGGCAGATGTGTCTGGTGGCCTCCAGAGAAGGGCATGTCACCGCATTCACAGAGCACTTGGTCAATGGTTCCAGTGTCCAAAGAGCTTGTCAGTTGTGAAATTCATTGTGTGCCCTGATCCCCTCTGCCACGTTATTAACCATCGCCCCCTTGCCCATTCCCCAGTGGACATGGAGAACAGATGGCCATTATCTTCTCAGGGTCGGACCCTGCAGAAGCCTGAGAGTCTGAGGCAAAGCTCGTCAGCGACTTCCTTCCATCCGTCATCACTCCTCATAATACCCTCCCCTGCCCCCTCCTGTACCCACACTCCATAAATTACCCCTGAAATACTAGATAAAAGACATAATGGGGGAAAAGCATAGAGTCTGCTAGGTTTTTCTACGGCCTGCTGCTACTTAATATCTTGCCCATGGCAAATGGTCCTTGCTGTTTATCACTACTAATCCATTCAATCTGATTGTCCTCAGAAATAACAGGTGACATGGACAAGGGTCCAGAAAAGTGACAGATGACAGCAGCCATGATTATGTGTGTGAAATCACAATTAGAGCTTACATGAAAGCCAGAAATTATCTTGCAGCATAAGGCAGCCCCCAATGACATCCAGTGGCTATTCATTCAGATTGTTCTAAGAAACAATTTCCCCCTGAGTTCCCATGATTCTGAAAACTTCTAGGGTCCTAAAATTTCAGCACACAAGCAAGAAGAGATATTGCTATGACTGAAGCTAAGAATCACTGCAAAGAGGTAGAGTGTGAGGATGCTTTAGGTTCTGATGGCACAAAACAGGAGCAGGGATTAACAGACAAAGACAGAAGAAAAGAAAGTATTCTTTTGTTTCCTGGTTGTCCTGGAAGGCAGTCTATAGGGAAAGGGCTCTTTTTGAAAGTAGCTGGAGTTATGGGAGAGATGAGTCATTAGAGAGAAAAGATGGAACAGATGTTTTTGCCTGGAAACAGTTTAGACATAGAAGGGAAGTGGACACGGAGCTGGGAAATTGGGCATAGACACCTGAAATGAACAGAAGAGGGAGGGGCTGGGCAAGGGCAATAGTGAGGAGAGCATGCTTGGTAGTGACTGCAGCTGAGGTCCACAAGGCTGACCAGGAGGAGTTGTACTGTGAGAAGCCGGTTTCTTACTCAGCTTACAACTCTCAGCTCCTGGATCCCAAATCAGAATGCAAGAATGAGGCGATAAACAAATTCTGCAGACCTCATTTCTCATCTCCCAGTCCATGTGTCCACCGTCGCTGCGTTAGCCGGACCAAGCCTGTCTCAACTGACCTTGACCATCACAATTTTCAGAAACTCGGAAGCTTTCGATCTGTATTCAATATAAAGATGAGAGTTTTTCAAATTCATAGCCTCTTTTTCCTTAATTGTTGTTACGCGCGCGCGCACACACCCAAATATATAAATATTACCTGCTCAGTCTGTATAATGGTGTGCGTGTGCGCACGTGCGCATGTGTGTGTGTATGTGTGTGTGTGTGTGTGTGTGTGTGTGTGTGTGTGTGTGTGTTTGCAGGGCTGACCATTTAATCCTGGATAACCATTGGTGTTCTCTTCCCTAGGAAGACTGCAGCTCTTAGCATTTCTTAGTTGCCTATACTTCTTTGCCTAGGGCTTTCTCTTTCCTCATCCACATTAGCATTTCTACTGGTGCTCAGGTCAGGTTTAGACAGCCATGTTGGTGAGACTCCATGGATGTAACTTGTGACATTATATTTTCAAAAATTAAAAATATGTATCTATTAAAAATCCTAGGAAAAAATTAAAAATTAGACCAAAACCAACCAACCAAACAAACAAACAAACAAACAAACAAAATCCTGAAAAACTTTCTGTACTTCTTTCAAACTAAGGGCATTCTGAAATTGGATTTCCTTTGCATGACTACTTTAAATTTCAGCTCTGATGAGCTAATGAGGGAGGCTCCTTTGGTCAATGGTTGAGAGGCCCAGGCCACAGCTGTCACTTCCTGCCCCACACTGCACAGGTCAATACAGCGACCACATTGACCACAGAGTGAAGGCACTCGATGTAGACTTGCATAGACATGAGATTATTGGGTGTCATTGTTATTTCTTCCCTTTTCTAAAAAAGTATTTTTGTGTGTATGTGTGCATGTGTGTACAGGCATGCTTGCACATGTGTGTACAGGCATGCTTGCACATGTGTGCCAGAGGTCAATACTGGGGCTTGGCTTCAGTTCCTCTCTGTCTTATTTTTGACAGAGTCTCTCACCCAACCTGAAGCTTGTCCTTTTGGTTATAATGGCTGGGCAGCAAGCCCCAAGGATCACCCATCTCCACTTCTCCAGTGCTAGGATAACAGTTCCTGCTGGCTTTTAAGTGTGTGTTCTGGAATCATACTTGAGCAGCAAGCACCTTACTGACTGACCTATCTTTCTAGCCTTATTCTTCATTTTTTTTTAAAAAGTGCATTGACGTTATTACATTTTTGTGTACAGATGTTGTGTCTGTGCACTACATGTGTACCTGGTACTTGCTGAAGTCTGAAGAGGTCTTTGGGTCCCTTGAAACTTGAGTTATGGATAGTTGTGAGCCACCAGTGGAGGCTGGGAATTGAACCCAGGGCCTCTGCAAGAGCAATAAGTGCTCTTAACAACTGAACCATCTCTCCAGCCTCTTTTTGTTCACTTTTGAAGTTCAAAACCAGCTTTATCTACATAGTGAGTTTCAGGCCAGCCAGGGGTATACAGTGAGACTGTAACGGCCAACTGAATCAACTGAACATATAAAAATTCAGATCCAGTGAGATTTTGAAATGCATTTCTGAATCAGAGGTAAGTTAACATTTTTTCACTTTTTTTTTCCAAAGGCATTTTTTGTCATGAAAATAATAGGCCATTTTCCATTTGCTATCTGGGCAGGGGGTAAGGGTGGAGGTGGGGGGAGAGGGAGAGGGAAATGGAGGGAGAGGGAGAGTCATACAATCTTGAAATCCTGTCTTACCTTGGTACCTAGGCTTGGCTGTCATCCCCCACCTTTGCTGTGAGTCACACTTCCTTCACAGAACTGAAATACCTTGTGACCTCACTCCACAGGCATCCTGAGGGGTGTGAAAATCTCAGCTGCTGCACAGTGGGCATGAAGACAAGACAGGGTGGGGACCCTGGCGTCTCTGTGCTCTGGATGGAGAAAGGAGAGTCACTTTAAGAAAAGTCACAAACAGAGGCTAGGAAACTAAATACTTCTGAAGGTGGAAGCTACTGAGGATGATGCAAGATCCATCTTTTTTTTTTTTAAATACAAATTTTATTTCTTAAGATTTTTTTTCTGTGTGCTTACCTGATGTGTGTTGGGGAGTCAGTGGAAGGCAGAGGATAGCTCTATGGGACCAGTTCTCTCTTTATACCTTGATGGTGGTGCCAGGGATCAAACCCAGGTCCCCAGGCACCCACAGCAAGCACATTTACCCACTGAGCCATCTCAGCAGTCCTGAGACACCTACCATTTAGAAGGTCTGTTCAGAACCTCTGCTCTTCCCCTATACGCTCTACCAGTCTGACCTAGAGAGGATGACTGAGACTCCACATCCAAACCTATTCAAAAAGAAACTCCCACATTTTTGTGTTTTTTAATATTTGAACTGTTTGGTTTTTGTTTATTTGTTTGGGTAGGGTTTTTTTTTTTCTTTTTTACTGCAAGATCATTTTACCATCCAGTCTATTCTTTCTTGTTCTTTTCACACTACTTACTGGCACAATTCTCTCCTTCAGGCAAGTAGTGATTGGAGATGGAGCTCAGAAGGTCGGCTCTGGTTCGTGTATATGTTAGTGTATACGAAGGTATGTATATGTTCAGCACAGCAAGGGGCAGCCGGGTTTAATAACTCTGACTCTTGAGTTTCTTCAGACAGACATAGACTCCAATAATCCTCTGAGAGTTGTTATTCTTTTATTGTTTCCAAAGATGGAGAGTGGAAGATCAAGAATAAATGCCTTAGCTGGGCAGTGGTGGCGCACACCTTTAATCCCAGCACTCGGGAGGCAAAGCCAGGTGGATCTCTGTGAGTTCGAGGCCAGCCTGGGCTACCAAGTGAGTTCCAGGAAAGACGAAAAGCTACACAGAGAAACCCTATCTCGAAAAACCAAAAAAAGAAAAAAAAGAAAGAATGAATGCCTTAGGATGTTCAGGAGAGCCAGTGAGTCAGAAGGACTGGCTTTTCTTCTCAAAGATAAGTACCACTCTTCAATGGATAAGTTCCATCCACTGCAAGTTGAGAGGAGGTTGAAAAAAAGAAGCCAAGTAGATAGCATCAGCCATGGAACTCTTCCTCCAACAAACATGCAGGGGCATGGGTCTCAAAAAGACACATTGACTTCAGAGATTAAAGAAATCACTCACAAGAATGACTCTTGTCATCAGGAATAAAGATTCAGTTCATTTAAAGTGATAGCTATGCATGTATTTTTTAATACCCATGATCATGCTCAACTAGTATGGTTAGTTAACTGCATCACATGTTTTCTTACCACTCATTTTGATGAAGAGGCCCCAGCTAATCCCTTCTCTTCTCTGTGTATAATGAAATTATGTGTTTTTTTTTTTAATATATAGGAGCTGGCAAAATGAGGCTTGAAAATCACATGCAAATTGTGGTATAATTTCTCAAAGTTCTCACTACGTTTGTGAATATGACATAGGCTAGGTTTTCCCAACCAAGGCTGTCTTTGATTAGTCAGCCCTCTTCTACCCTGCAGCTGGTAGCAAATCCATGAATGAATTCCTGTGCAAGCTTGACTGAGTCTGGCTCTTGTCAATAGAACTGCCCATCCAACCAATCTTCAGGATACAGAGCAAATGTTCAGCATTTCAAATCACTTGGCTTTGGAGTCATTTATTACACAGCAAGAGCTAACAGATATAGCTTGTGCTGTGATCATAATGAAGCAAAATATTGAGAGAGCAAGTAAAGCCCCAGTTTCACAGTGTCACAGACACCATAGAACTGGGGAGAACATTTATCTTGACCTCCCTTCTCCCCAGCCCCATCACATGCATCCCATTTGCTGAAGTGGGTCTTTGTTTGTTCTTAGTACTTGGGGATTTGAGGGGGTCACAGGCAGAGGTGTGTGTGCACATGTATTTATGCTCAGCTGACCTCGGGGAGCTAAGTTCTATTTGGGACTTGGGACTTGTTTGTGAGATCTTTCTGTTCTCAGGTCCCATTTCAGATAAAGCAGCAGGATTTTGCTGCTGTCCTTAAAATCCACGACAGTGAAAGCTAGGGCACCCGCTTGGTTGTCTAGGAGAAAGAAGGCGAACAATGGAACAGTAAGAAAAACAGTTCATATTTCTGCTTACTAGAGATCCAATAATCTTTTAGCAGTCATTAAGCAGAACACACTTCTTGACTTAGTGAGAAAATGTCACAGACTAAATCATTGAGTAGATCATGACATGGGGTGGTCCATTCATGCCTTCTGATGTGGAATGTTTTCTCTTCTCTTCTCTTCTCTTCTCTTCTCTTCTCTTCTCTTCTCTTCTCTTCTCTTCTCTTCTCTTCTCTTCTCTTCTCTTCTCTCCTCTCC